GCTCAGTCGCTCTTCGTCTGTGAGGAATCGTACCTCCTCCTCGACACTGCCAAGCTGGAGTTTTACAGTGAGCCAAGCGTACGCTTCTCTGGCTTGGCTCGGAGACAGAAATGCAGAATCAGGTCTGACGTGTGAACCGCTAGTCAAATTCACTGTAACCTGCACTAATGAATTCAATACTGAACTTGTTTCGACGACACATTTGGACAAACACTAATGATTTGATCACTCCACCAGTATTGTCTCAGGAAACCTCTGCTCCAGTCCAGGAAGGTTTGTATCTGTGTTTGTAACAGCATTCACACCTGCCTTGTGGTGTGAATGATGAGCGCACGTCTCCTCAGATGGTTGACCTCAACAAATCGCTCACGGTTTCTTCTGATGCCAGGGTTGGTTCACAGCAGGGATTGCAAACTATATTTACTGGGCGAAGGGCCAAAATGTTTCTGGTTTTTTTTTTTCCAGTTCTTATAATAGTTGAGAATCACATGGGATTTTTTCTTAAATCCTCAAAATTTCGAAATCCAGTCATGGGCCGTATTTGGGAGTTCAGTGGACTAGATTCAGCCCGTGGGCCACCAGTTGGTGATCTCTGATTTACAGAGTCGTTCTCTTTTATTCTCAGTTTCCTAATTCCTGGCACACATCCAGCCCTGTAGGTGGCAGTAATGCACCTTTATGTTCCTATTGGGATTTAAACCCAAGATCTCTCCTTAGAGAGAAAAAAAGAATAACTAGACAAAAATTCCAAATATAAACTGGTTCTGTATTTTTCATGTTGGTTTTCCATTAAGAGTTAATAGCTACAGTGACAGTGTCACGGTGGCAGGTAAGCCGCCATCCTGTTAGTGAAGCTGTCAGGCTGTGGTAACAATAAATGTGTGAAAACACAAAGAGAGAGAGAGACCTGTTTGGCTCTGCCTTTTCCCATAATTACTGGATTGCTAACGAAACCAACAGCCAACCAAACTAAAGTGCCGCTGATGTAAGTGACTCACTCATTGGTCCACACATCAGCAGCATGTATCCATCATCGGCTGTTGTGTGCTGTGTTCTAAAAGCCAGTGTGTATCCAAGAACCTAAAAATGCCCAAAAATCTCAGGGAAGGTTTGACTGTAAATAATGCAAGTTGGCGCAGGTGAATTTCAGAGATGCACTGTGTTGAAACAACCCCGCTGCGGAGCAGTTTTTGGATCAGAAACCTTTGGGCTGACAGATGAGCTATGTCTCTTTCTCGGAGGCTGTGAATAACCCTGGTCGACCTCCAGGACCATCAGTTTGTAGAACATTGTGTTAGAAAATCCTCCTGGGATCTGAGGCGGGCGCTCTGCAGCTAATAGGTACAGATATCCATTTTCTTCCCTGCCTGGCTGCCTGCTTCTTCAAACCCCTGCACTGCAAAAAGTGTCCGTCTCTGATGTAGCGGTGCACCAACAGTGGCAGCTGCCGGCCGGCCGCGCTGCAGGCGCATGCAGTGATTCTTAAACCGTGGAGCCGTTGCAGAAAGAACTGGAACAGCAGGGGGCACGCGCGCAAATGGGATGCATAAATCTGCCGCCAAATCAATGAAATCAAAAATGTACAAGTGGAATGAATGGTAGTTAATGGGGAAAAAATGTGATAAAATCAAATCACATAAAAAGTTAAACTTCATTTCACGAGTATAAAAATGATTTAACCAAAAAAAAATAGTCTCTCTGTAGAAAAATAGCTATCCTTGTTATTGCTCTCAGGGTTTATTTTAAGCATTTAGAAATGTGTTACATTTAGGTGATTGGATTCGTTTGGCTCAAAGTAATTGAAATATTCTTGGTCGTTCCTCAGGTCTGAGTCAGAAATCCTAAAACTTTGACCATAAGCAACAAAAAGAGTGCAGTTTTAAGGTAGTACTGTTCATTTAATTTAGATAGCAGATAGTAGATAGTATTTTCTAGTTACAGTACCTTATGCGAAACATCTAGTACGGTAGTAAACAGTGCTAATATAAGCTGTACCTCTCCAGTGTTGTTTGTAATTACATATCTTGATTAGAAAAACATAATTAAATCCAAATATGAGCCAATTCAAATTCCTTGAAGGAATCAAAACTATTTTTTTTTGCTAAAGTTAACATTGGTCAAAACCTTTTCAATAAAATATAACATATAAAAATGTATGTGCTGGTGCATCTTGACTGACGGCTGCGATCACATGACTGCACCAGTGACAGATACTGAAATGTGTCCAGGTTTGCCAGGGATTGTGAGGTCAAAATGAGGTCACGAGCAACAAAGGGTTGGTGTAAACATACTGTAAATACGAGAACATGGAGCCAAGACAGAAAGACCAGAGAGATACCAGATAACAACGCTTCTCCTCACTCTGTATTTCATACCAGGAACTGAGTTCCAAAAATAGTCTCCGACAATAAAACCCCAGATCAAAGATCACTCTGTATTTCATACCAGGAACTGATTTCCAAAAATAGTCTCCAACAATAAAAGCCCAGATCAAATTGATTTTTGTTTTTCTTTTGGGCCTAAATGAAGCAAACGAAGGAAAGAATGGAGTAACTTAGGAATACTGAAGGAAGGAAGACTTTCCACTGGAAAGATGAACAAAAACTTGAAAGTGCTGCCTGTGGGCCAGTGAGTTCAAAGGTCAAACCAACTTTTTTGGCACTTTTGACCAAAAAACTAGAAACAGCAAAAAAAACCTATTTCTACGTATTTTTACATTACCTTAAACCTTAAACCAAACCTTACCTTAAACCTTAAACCAAACCTTGTTGGACAGAAATAAACATTTCTGTCCAACAAGGCAAAGTAGTCGGTCGAGACCTGGTCCAAAAGACAGAATTCTACAGTGAAATCATCATTCGATGAAGACTCTGCTTGGAATACAGAGTGAAAAAAAAGTTCTAATATTTACAAACATAAACTTTTTCAAACTTGTCTCAGGTTGTTTTGACTTCCCTCGTACACCATGTTCTGATCGGCATTATGTTTTATTTTCCTCTAAATACGATTGCAATTTACATTAATTTACATTGTTACTATAGACAACCTGAAACGAGGGAATCCACATAATGTTGACATTCAGTAATGTCATAAACTTTGGGAAACAAATTCATTTTTAGAGAAATGTCCTAGTTCCAGGCTTTTATGCTGGCTGAAGATGGCGCTGTCCATTTACTAAATACAGTCTGTATATGTGTCATGCTGATTTCTTTTTATCTATATATTTTTGTTATTTTTGTTGTGTGTTCAACATGTTGTTTCCATTACGGAGCCTTCACAGGTCATTATTCCTGTCACAACAGTTGCGATCGTTTCTGTTTGTTTAACGTCAGGGCACGAAGATCATCACGGCACGAGCTTTGTATGTTTTGGAAACAGTCGAGTTGTGCAACTGATAAAAAATAAACAGTGATCTATTTACAGTGCCACGAAAGTCTGAATTTGATTTAAAAAAAATTGTGCAACTGATAAAAAATAAACAGTGGTCTATTTACAGTACCACGAAAGTCTGAATTTCTTTGAAAACATGTTAGAATTAGCTGCAGGTTCTACTCTAATACTTTGACATATTTCCATGTACTTCTCACTCCACAGATGGAACCAAGTTGTAATTTTTGAGTATATGATGTATAAATGTATTACAAAGGAAAATTACTGCAGTATTTCAAAAATAAACACAAACAGAAATTCCCACAGTCATCGATAAGTCACAGATTACCCCACAGAAAGTACCGGCTGACTGACTGTATGAGTAATGAATGTTTGTGATTGGATCAACAAACACAAACATGGCATAAAATCTCACAGGGAACCAATGACAAAAGTGGTGAGCCACCTGGTGGCCCACGAGCCACCTATTCCAAACCACACACACACACCACAAGAAACGGCCTGTCCTGTTCGTATCGTTAGTTGCAATTATTTCCTAAAAAAATTGTAGTACTCGTGTAGTACTCATTCCGTCCTAATGTGTCCACCACAGGCCGTGGTATGAGGCTGACTTGTTAGTGTGGATATTTTTTGCAGCGTGCCTCATTTCCAGCAGGGGAAGACACAGACGAGAACAAGCTTTCTTTGGAGGAGACTGACGGCTCGTCCCAGCCAATCAGAGCGCGGATGCTGCGAGCATCTCTCCCTCTTCTCCCTCGCCATTGGCTCTTCTGCGAGGAGTCAGGGTTTGTTCTGATATTAATGACTGCTGAGGAGACGGCAGCGGCATCTATGTGGTCCGTCTGACACTTGATCGAGCCGAGTGATGCGCCCTCAGCCGCCGTCGTCTGTGTAGATCCTGCTGAGAGTGAGCGCTGGGAGACGAAGGGCACAGGGAACACTCCGAGCCCGTCATCCTCAGGCTGAACTGGGTTTTTTTTCCAGTTTTTTTTTCTTCTTCTTTTTTCTGTGGACTTCTCAGCTTCGTTTCGCCCTCCTCTCTCGCACAGAAGCCGTGTGTTTCGCTGTGGACCAGAACCGAGAACTGATTTGCGTGAAAATAAGAAGACCACACATTGTTGACCGGCTCTATGTTGCGCGCTCTCTTGTCATTGGAGCCGCGCACTTGATGGGAATACAGACACCAAGTACTGTTGCAGGGACTATGTTTTCCAAATCAGGTAAGTTCACTGTCTACACTAACCTAATAGGTGTCTGTCATTGGAAACATAAGGCTTATGAGATCACATTTTGGCGTCTGCGCAACGCGTTAACCAAGCAAATGAATTGGGAAAAAAAATCCTCCGGGTTTCTGCGTTTTTGTCGCGATTTTTTTTTTTTTTGACCGTGTATGAATTTTGGTTATCAAATTAGTTTATCTACACCGGTCGATCGCTGAGTGACGTTAGAGATGATCGAATCTTGCAGATTTGATCATGTTGGTGATGCTTTCAAAGACCCGCTGGACGTGGAGACGCGCTTTTGCGCAACTATGCAGGATGCGCCTGGAAGGGACGGGATCTGTTTGGTGAGACCCCTCCTATGCCTCCATCCTCAGGTTGAACTGTGTTTTTTTTCCAGTTTTTTTTTTCTTCTTCTTTTTTCTGTGGACTTCTCAGCTTCGATTCGCCCTCCTCTCTCGCACAGAAGCCGTGTGTTTCGCTGTGGACCAGAACCGAGAACTGATTTGCGTGAAAATAAGAAGACCACACATTGTTGACCGGCTCTATGTTGCGCGCTCTCTTGTCATTGGAGCCGCGCACTTGATGGGAATACAGACACCAAGTACTGTTGCAGGGACTATGTTTTCCAAATCAGGTAAGTTCACTGTCTACACTAACCTAATAGGTGTCTGTCATTGGAAACATAAGGCTTATGAGATCACATTTTGGCGTCTGCGCAACGCGTTAACCAAGCAAATGAATTGGGAAAAAAAATCCTCCGGGTTAACGCGTTTTTGTCGCGATTTTTTTTTTTTTTGACCGTGTATGAATTTTGGTTATCAAATTAGTTTATCTACACCGGTCGATCGCTGAGTGACGTTAGAGATGATCGAATCTTGCAGATTTGATCATGTTGGTGATGCTTTCAAAGACCCGCTGGACGTGGAGACGCGCTTTTGCGCAACTATGCAGGATGCGCCTGGAAGGGACGGGATCTGTTTGCAGACTGTGTTCAGGGCAAAAGGCTAATTAAATAAGACAATTCAATCCGTGTGTGAGTGTGTTTGTGTGTGTGTGTGTGTGAAGTGCAGTTTTACTGCCCTGCTTAGTGGTCGCACATTAGGCACGTCTCGAAGAAATCCACAGAATGCCCCTCTCCTCTCCTCCCCCGTCCTCCCCTCCCTCTTCAGCTTCTCCATCACCACCACCTCTCTTCCTGTTGCAAACCCAGAAGTCGTTATCATCAAATACACCAACCATGACACAAATGTTCACCACGGGGGAGGGGAGAGGAGTGGAGGGGAGAGGAGGGGGAGACAGAGGCGTCCTGAGCTTCTGCCTTATAAAAACAAAAGATCTGCTACCTCATATATGTTTGTGTGTTTTTGAGTGAGTCTGTGCATGTGTGTGTGTGCAGAAGGGGGGAGACAGAGAGAGAGAAGGTATTCACTAATCCCATAACTGCAGTGGGGCGTCTCATCCCTCTCTCCTCCCTCTTCTCACTCCCTTCTATTTTCCCTCCCTCACCCTCTCCTCCCTGTCCAAATGTGTGCCATCAGCCGTACATTCATCATGAATATAACCCTGGCAGATACATGGCATATGTTTAACGGTGACAAATACGGTTTGGACCCGGTGGGTGCGTTTACAGCGTTGTCTTGTGTGCAGACGTGCCTCTCTCTCCCACTGTCTCCCTCCCTCTCTCTCTCTCACTGTGTGTGTGCGTGTGCATCTGTGTGTCTGCCGCGCTTGTTCCCGATGATGGATACAATGGATTTTGGCCTCCGTGGTGTGAATGACTCACCCAAAGCGACTGGTGCTTTAATGTGAAACACACACAATAAAACGCCACATGAGAGCCACCGTGCCCTCCCGCTCATCCTTTACCAGGCGTGCGGAGAAGAGCCCCGGCCTCGGCTCGAGCACCGCGTGTTGGCCTCACTGGGGAATGTTTGGCTTCCTGCGGACTGTGCCCA